CTTAACAGCAACCCAGGTTATTTTGGGATGCAGGCAGCGTTTTAGATAGGGGCTCGGAGCTAGGGGTTTTGGGTGTGGTGTTGCGTGCTTGGGGTTGGCTTTTCGCTGCGCTTAACAGCCCTAAACCCCAGAACTTTCGAAGATCCCTATGCATTCTCCTTCCTCATTTTCTGCGGGTTACCAAAAGAATGCAGCTCAAGAGGTCCGTTGCCTTAGCTCCCTTTGGTGCTCTGGATATGGGGGTTTCCCAAAATTAGGGATACTCTTTTAGGGGTCCCTATGTTAAGGGTTGTAGTATTGTGGGGTGGGGTTCTTTCTATTCTATTTTGGGAAACTACCATAGAATTCCAAGAAGCATTTCCTGATAATACGTGGCATCATATGGGTCGGCGGTTTGGAGTCAAAGGTCCGTCTGGGACCAGCTTTATCATGCTGTCCTGATTGATTGCAAGGTGGAAGGAGTTGAGTTTTACGATGAGCCAGCTCCCTCAACTGGGAGTTTCCATGGATCCTCAAGCCCTATACCCCGAACCCTAAACCCTCAACCCATCACCGCTTCCGTCCTGTTCAGAAGTAGAACTTTCTCCAGATCAGGGCCCTTAGGCATGCTTCCCCCAAAGCCCAAAACCCCAAAGCCCTCTAAACCTTAAATCCCCAGATCTACAGCCTTAAAATCTTAAACCTTAAGCCCCGAAATGAAAGGGTTTCGCGCTCTAGGGCTTAGGTCCCAAAACCCGTACCCTTAAATCCTAAACCGTTAATCAGAAGGTACGGCCGTGGTGGAGACAGTGATGAGCCTCGCAGCAGGTAGCGGAGGCTGCTGTGCGCTAAACCTGTATGGGAGTTGCTCAGAAATTTAAGGTGTATGATAGTTTCCATTTTCTTTTCCATTTTTCCGATATAACCCCAACATATACGTTTTTACAATATAGTAGTGTCCATTTTCTTTGCCATTATCCCCATATAGCCCCCAGGGTTCAGGGATTCAGTGTTTAGGGAACAAACCAGGAACCCAGGGATGTATACGGCGTTCAGGTGGGTCCCCGGCCAATGTCATCCACATAGAATCTAGTGTACAGGATGTAGGGAAACTCTAGACCTTAAGCCTTGAACAAGATCCCTCCACCCAGAGCCCCAAACCCTAGATCCAAAACCCTATATAACCCTTACAAAAACCCCTCTACACCCCTATATAAACTCGCCTAACCTATTGCAATCTGTCACCAACAGTATAGTGCAGCGAGGTTCTGAAGGTTGCGGGTTACGGGCTTTGAGGATGCGTTTACAGGGCGGAGATCGTGGGGTCAGTTGAGTCCTGTGGGTTTTAGGTTGGGCATGTGGGGCTTATGGATATCAACCAGGTTAGGGATTAGGGTGCAGGGGTTAAACCTTAAACCCTAAACCCTAACTTGGGGTGTAGGGTTTAGCGTTCCGGGCTTTGAGTGCAGTGTTCATGAAGCACACACCCCTAACCGGTAACACCTAAACCCTAACCCTATACCTTGAACCCTAAACCCTAACCCTTAAATCCTAAACCCTGCTGCGCCTAGCCCCAGTCTCTCTGAAGCTCCTTGCAAAAGGAGTCTTGCAGCTGTCACACTTTGGGGGCGTCCAGATACGCTGACAATCTAAATGGGGGGGTTTCCAAAATTAGGGGTACCCTTTTGGAGGTCCCTATAATAAGGACTATAGTATATTGGGATCTATATTGGGGTCCCCCAATTTTGGGAAACTACCAGATCCAAACCTTAAAACCTAAACGCGGAGCCCCAAGGAGAAGAGTAAGCAGAATAAACCCTAAGTCCAAATTCTAAACCTGAAGCCGCAAATCCCCAAACCCTTAAATCCTAAACCCTAAGCCCTAAACCCTAAACCCTAAAAACCCTTAAATCCTAAACCCTAAGCCCGACTCCCAAACCAAGTCCAGGCGCTCAGAGTCGGCTTGCTATGATGCTTCGCGGTCTTCGCATCGCAAGGCCTGGGTAAAGTTGGTTCGGGGTTCATGTGTTCCGGATTTAGGGCTTTAGAGTTTAGGGTTTAGAGTTTAGGGTTTAGGGCTTTGACTTCAGGGTTCAGGGCTTAGGGTTCGGACTTGGTTGACTACTCCAGGAGCTAGGGTTAGGGCTCAGAGTTTTGGGACTTAGGCAAGGGCTCCGGGTCAATGTGTAGGACAACATAACGAGCATTGGTGCTAAGGTTTTTAGCTCAAAGCCCTAAACCCCTAAACCCCCAAACCCCTCAACCCCCAAACCTAGGTAAACGTAGGGGCTGGATTTTCGCCAAGCATCCAAGACGAAGGCTGAGTTTCGAGAGCTTCAAGCCAAGAGCTTCAACTGAGGGTTTTGGGTTTAGGTTTTCGGGAAGACGATGCTGAGGTTAAGCCGTCCGCTGTACAGACGAGCTGTTCCAAACGGAAGCCCTAAGCCCATCAGAACAAGCTCCGTAGCGCTGAAGCCTAAGCCCTAAACCTTAACCTGAAACTCTCAAACCCCAACCCCTAAACTTTCATCTTGCACCTCCAACCCTCAACCCAACCTTTCATCCCAAACCTTACAGCCTAAACTGTGCTGTTCTTGAGGAACTTGAGTTCAGCTACCACTACAGGGAAGCTGAAATAGTTACTCTGTACCCGTCTTACAGTAGTTTAGCGTAAGTTGCTTAACAGCAACCTAGGAAAGCCTCTAATATAGGGGCCTAAACAATGACCAATATTATGGTTCCATATTCCTTGTATACTTACAGTATATGGTACCTGAAATGGACCTCAAACTGATATTGGTAATTATTCAGGCCCCTGTAGTAGGCTGGCGCGCTTGGCGAAGCTGGTTCGCATGCCTCTCTTGCAGGAGCTGGCCACCATCGTGTCAGGCTTTTGGGAGTTTGGGGCTTTGGGGGTTTAGGGCTTACGGGTTCAGGGGTTCATTGGGTTTAGGGTGTAGGGGTGTTGCGATTAGGAGTCAGATTTGTGGGGTTTGGGTCTTCTGGAGCGTCCTAGATTTGATGTAGGTTTATATGTTTCTTGGAGGAACCTCCCTTCAATCTCGTATTGGGTGTAGAAAGTCCCTCGAACTCCAGGCCTCGACCGCAAAGTCTAAACCCGAAACCCGCGATCTTCTCTCAGAGATTTGTCGCCCCCAGACCCTGAAACCTGGGAAGGCTTCTTTATCAGTCTGCGACCACTGTTCTGGGTGCTGCTCACTCTCTTCATGGTGGTTTACTTCATGGCGGTGGTCCTCCGAACCACGCTGAAGGGGTTCACTGCAGAAAGCTGCCCTGGTGATCCAGACCTTTCGGAGGATCTCGAGCTCTTAGGGTTGAGGGTTTAGGGTTTTAGGGCTTTAGGGTCTGGGGACTCGGGATTAGGGTTTTGCGAGTAGGGTCTAGGGGAGCTTAGGGGAGTTTAGCATTTAAAGTCCTGAAAAGTTGTAGGTTTGTACATGAACCTTCATCTTTGCTGCTCCCAACAGTTATACATCAACCCTAAACCCCAACCCTGAAGCCTAAACCCTAGACCCCAAATGCGTAGTTTTCAACCTCAACCCCAAAATCTCAGTCCGCAACCTGCAACCCTAAACCCGAAACCCTACTGGAAAGCAAGTTTCTAGGATCTGGACCCGGAGCAATGCCCCTTCCACTTGGTGCAAGGCCAAGTCTATTGCGGTTCGGCTTTAAATTTGGGGGGTTTCCGTAAAGTAGGGGCTTGCAATTTAGGGATTTAGGATTTAGGGCTTGGGATTTGGGGTTTAGGGTCTGGGTTTAAGGTCAAGTTTGGCATACCTATAATTTTGGAAGCTCCTATTCGTAGCCGTTTTCTGGGCAACTGGTGTGTCCCTACTCTTCCTACTGTTAATGCCGACGTCTTCAGCATCAAGCTACAGGTGTGTTTCGGGCTTAGGCCTAAACCCTAAACCCCAAACCCTAAACCCTAAATCCTAAACCCTAAGCCCTAGACTTTCAACCCTAAGCCTAAAACCCCAAACCCTAGACCCTGAAACCTAAATCCTAAGCTAGGGTTTAGGGTTTAGGGTTTTGGGTTTAGGGTTTTGGGTTTAGGGATTTGGGTTTAGGGTTTAGGGCTTAGGGTTGAGCTAAAACTTCTAAAGCACACAGTAGAGGTGGTGATGTTTCGAGTAGGTCATGGTGCACGTGGAGCATTAAACCCTAGGCCCGCAAACTTGAAATCCTACGCCCTGAGCCTAAACCTTCGACGGCCCTAAACCCTAAACCCCTCTAAACCTTTAAACCTTAAACCCTAAACCTTAATCTTAAACCCTGAACCCTAAACCCTAAACCCAAACACTAAACCAAACCCTAAATCCGCCACAGAACTAAGGCGGTGGTTTCTTGCGCCCTAAACCCTAAACCCTAACCCTATAAAACTCTGTAAAAACCCTAGACCCTTATGTTCTCTACCAGCCCAAGTGGTGTTGTCTTGGGCCCTAAACCTTAATTCCTGAACCCTGAATCCCTAAACCCTAAACCCTAAATCCCTAAATCCCTAAACCCTAAGCCCTATATTCACCTGGTAAGGTGGCGATGTCCTGGGGTGTATGTTTTCGGTCTTCCGGTGCATCCTGGGCGACTGCACCACCAAGCCAGGTCAGAGTCTGGTCATGGTCACCTCGGCTCTTTTTTTGGGGAGGGTTTAGGGTTTAGGGTTTAGGGGTTATAGGGGTTATAAGGAGTTAAATAGGGATATTAGGTACCCATTGGGGTAATGTAAGGGTTATGTTGGGGTTATATTGGGATAATGGAAAAGAAAATGGAAACTACTGCTTATTGTTTAGGGTTTTAGGATTAAGGGTTTGCTCTTTACCCTTTAAAGGGGGGTTATAGGGGTTATAAAGGGTTATATAGGGATCTATAGGGGTATGTAGGGTATATAGGGTTTAGGGATTTAGGGATTTAGGGATTTAGGGTTTGAGGGTGCAAGGTTCAGGGTTTAGGGTTTAGGGATTTAGGGTTTGGGGTTGAGGATTTAGGGCTTGGAGTTTTAGGGTTTAAGGATTTAGGCTTTAGAGTGTGCGGGGTATGGGGTTTCGGGCTTCAGGGTTCGGGTTCAGAAATAACGTGGGGTTTGAGAGGTTCGGGGTTTGGGGTTTCGCGTTGGTGGGTATAGGGTTTGGGTGCTTCCCCCAAAACCCTGAACCCTGAACTCTGAACCCTAAACCCTAAACTCTAAACCTTACAGGCAGGTCTAGGCTCTCAATTTTGGAGGTCGTGGCAGGCACAGACGCACCCTGAGATCTTCAGACCCCATAAAGTGCGACGACCCAAACCCTTAGAGGGTGGGGTTTGGGGGGGTTCAGACGATACCTGCTGGGTGTAGGGGGTTTTAGGGGTGTATGGGGTTTGGGGTTTCAGGTTTAGTTGACCTAAGCCCTAGACCCTCAACGGCCCCACGCCTGAAGCCCTCAACCAAACCCTCAACCATCAACTCAAAACCCTAAGACTTTAAATCGCACCCCCAAAACGCCCTAAACCCTAAACCCGAAACACTAAACCCTAAACCCTAAACTCCCAGCCCCCAAAAGGCCCCTACACACTCAGGTCTTCAGCGATGGCTTTGGGCTCGGCTTTGATCTAATCTATGCCTTCGGCATGGTTGTGGTGAGCCTCACACAAGATCTTTAGGGATTCAGGGGTTTAGGGAGTTTAGGACCCTAAACCCTAAACCCTAAGCCCTAAACCCTAAGCCCTAAACCCTAAGCCCTAAACCCTAAACCCTAAGCCCTAAACCTTAAACCCTAAGGGCTTACCAGTCTTGAAGTCTACAAGTGTACGGTTCACAGGTCAGGGCTCGGGATGCATAGACTTAGGGATTCTAAGGCCTCTACTCAGGGGGCTCAAAAGGTGGGATAAAGCTAGGTGGGTTAAAAGATCCTTATTGTAGATTCTACTTAGGGTTTAGGGTTTAGGGCTTAGGGTTTAAGGTTTAAGGTTTAGGGGTTTGGGCTGATTTCCTTTATCCCACCTACCTTCGTCCCACCTTTTGAGCCTCCTGATCTACAGGGTCAGCCCTTCGCGGGGTGGAAAAGGAGTATGTGCGCAGAGATCAGGGTTTAGGGCATTACGGCTATATGGTGTAGGTTCAGGGAATGTATGTGTGTGTGTATCATATGAGCTATTGTTTTCCTTTCTGATCGACGTACTACTACATTTCGCAATAAGCCCTTGCATCCTTCATCTTCGCAATTTGCACTGACTGTCGCTTGTGTGAAAGTTTCTCTTTTCTTATCCGTATACAGTCTCCAGAAGGAGCCAAGAAAGCCCGTTTTGCAACCCTTATGTGTCTTCTGGGCCTGCAATTCCAAGGGGTCCCTGGCCCTAAATCCTGAATCCCAAACCCCGGATGCTAAAACCACAAGCCCGAAAAACAACCAAGCCCTCGACCGTTAGCCCTGAGTCCTAATCCTGGGCCTTGAGCCGGATCTAAAGGACTTTTGGCCTCTTCAACATCATCACAGCCATTTTCGTGGAAGCCACCCTGAGAGGATGGAGTTTCCAGAAAAGGGATGTGGGTTCAGGATTTCAGGTGTGGTTTTGCGGTCAGGGTTCAGGGTTTGGGGTTTCAGCTTCAGGGTTTACGGTTCAGGGTGTACAGGCAAGGCCGCGCGCTCGGGCGTTCAGTGCCTCTGTGCGCGCGCTTGCGTTGGTTGTACGCCCATGCTGGCTTCCCACACTACATGCAATTGGGGGTTAACATGCATGCGCGATGCAGGACGCACTTGGAGCTGACACAAAAGCCCCGGCTCCCGCTGAAGTGTTCAGCCGTGATCAAGGTTCCAGCGCAGAATAAGCCCCCACGTGCAAATGCCCACGATAGTTGTCATTGCTCCGCGCAGGGTGTGCGTCCCACACGCAATGATAGCCAAGGCTGTCAGCCCTGGAAGGTAAAGCTTGTTTCTCGCAACACGTATCTTACAAATGGCGACCCTTGAGTGACCCTTGGGCCGTGAAGGACCCCTTGCTTGTGTTCAATGTGCAAGCTGCTTCCCCGTGACGCCGTTGAAACCTGTATAGATTTGGTATCGCGAAGGTTCCATTCGCAGGCTGATTTTCTACATTGGAACCATCCTCGTCTTGAGCCCCGCGCAATGTGTGGTCGCCAGGGCGCTTCTGGAGATTGCGCGGTAGCTGTTTATGCCACGTGACAAATGACAGTGGCCATGTGCTTGCTTTGTCTTCCGAAGCCTTGCCTAGCCTTGGCAGGGTCTCTGGGGCCATAGGCCCTGAGTCGCGGGAATTTGCAGATTTGGGCCTTCCCACACAAGGGAGGTCCGTTGGCCGGCCCCAATGAGGTTTCCCGGAACAATTATCGCGGCTTGTAAGGTGACCTGCGCAGATCATGGCGAGGCTTTCCTGCCATGCGCTCGGGCTGTGAACCCTCGACCAGCGTTCGGGGTCTGTCGCTTTTCGGGTTTAGGGTTTATGGTGGAAGCAGGGAGAGTTTGCCACGCCTGAGATTTCAGAGTTGTTAAAATTCGATCTCAAAACCCTACAGCCCGAAACGTTTACCCTAAATGAAACCACAACACGACACCTAAAGTCCAACCGCAAGCCCCCCAAACCCAAAACGAAAATCTTTATGGGACCTCAGGCCGCAAACCTGAAGCCTAAAGCCATCAGGTCTCAAGGCAAGCGATCGGCAGCAAAAATTTACACGGGACCATCAGTCTGGCTGGATGACGCAGCAGCTGGCCAATTTCGTGGAGCTGGCAACGCAAGAGGTGGATATGTAGTGGTTTTCAAGGAATTCTATGATTCAGGTTTGGAGGTAAGCTTTAAGGGCAGGTTTAAGGGTTTGGGTCGGTTTGAGGCCGAAGGAAAAAGTCCCGTAGGCTTTGCCGACTTTGCAGGCTCCATTTCGTTAGCTCAAACCCCAAGCCTTAACCCCTCAACCTTACACACCCTGACCCTAAACCGTAAACCTTCAACCCTAAGCATTCTAAAACTTAGCTTTACAAACGAACCCTAAACCCCATACACCCCGAACGCATTTGGTGGAGCCCGCAGGTGGAGACCGCCAGGAGGAGGAAATCACACCAAGGTGTTGATTTCCAAACATCGGGGGCTCGCAGCTGACTAATAAAAATCCAAATATTACGCCCTAAGCCCTGAACCTTAAACCGTTACGTAAACCTTAGACCCAACACCCTAAACCCTAAACCCAAGACAAACACCAGAGGTTCCCCGCAATTAGCGGATTCAAACTTAAGAAATCTTGATGGCCATCATGCATTTTGCATTCTTTTCAGCAGTTGCGGAAGCATGATCCAAAACTTCAAGCGCTAAGGTTGGAACCGCAAGTTGCAAACGTTAAATGGTAAACTTTAAGCTCGGAACCCTACGTCCTAAACTTTACATGCTAAGATTAAACTCCGACGCCCCGATGTCTAACTCTGAGCCCCAAACCTTAAACCCCTTCAGGTCTTTTTGAGGTCATGGGGCGTTCGCTGGGACTCGGCGAGGCTTCCAGAACATCTGCGCAGACCTTCACTGAAGGCTTGGATGAGGAGCCAGTACTTCCCTGCAGCGGTTTCGGTTTCGGGTTTCGGGTTTCGGGTTCGGGGTTCAGGGTGTTGGGAGCGAAAGCATGGCAAAGACAATGCGCTACTTAGGGTTTGGGTCTCAGGGTCTCGGGATTAGGGATTAGGTTTGGTGTTTAGTGAGGGAATGGAAAAATTGAAGCGATGTACTCATTATTGCAGATTACATCGGAAGTGCAGCAAGGATACGTGCTTTCATTCCTTGCTAACCAGAAGTAAGAATATCGGGTTGAGGGTCAGGGCTGAAAGTTTAGGATTTAGATTTCGGATTAAAGGTTTAGCGTTCGACAGGCAAGCTAAAGATTGCCCTTTGCCGTAGATGGACACGACGGTGAATGATGTAAATCCTTCCTTGGGAATGTAAGTATGTAGGTAAAGTAAGACCATGCAGGGGTTTTTAACACCAACAGTATCTCCCAGAAAAGTCCGAAAAAGGTGGGTCTTTGAAGAGCCTTACGTCCCAAACCCCTGGTAAACCTTGAGCCCTCAATCCAAACTCTTCCCCCTAAGTCCCAAACCCTCGCGCTGTGAGGAGTTATTTATGACGGAGGAGGAGTTCCTACGGTTGCTTACCGGTTGTTGAGGGTTTAGGTTTCAGGGTTTAAAAGGGTTTAGGGTTCGAGGTTTAGGGTCAGTGTTTTGGGAAATGGATCTTTTTTCTTCCCGGTCACCTTCGGTCCCAAGTAAACCCCAAGCCCTAAGCAATGATTTCCATTATCTTTCTTGTGTCTGTGACTCCCAGCCAAACTCAGACCTACAACTCAAACCCCAACAGAATAGTAGTTGCCATTCTCGTCTCCATTCCCTAAGCCCTAAATCCTAAGCCTTACACCATAAATCCTAAACCCTCAGCTAAACCCCACAAACACTACTTACTTCCACTCCTCCATTCCCTACCAACCGTCCGTAAGGCTGATACGAAAGAACGAGGTGCAACAGCTACTATGCGATATGGATGTGAATGTGGAACCTTGGGAAGCAAACAAGGGGCCATAGGGTTTAGGGTTTAGGGTTCAGTGTTTAGGGTTTAGGGTCACCTAGGGGTCTACAGTGCATGGAAGAAATTTTGCACGACTTCGGGTCAAAAAGTATACAAGCCCTAAAGCCTAAAACCTCATATTTCCTAGGACGGTAGGCACTTCACGGGGAACACGATTTCCTCCATCAAGTATGGGGTCTAGTGAAGCAAGGGATCTATAGGTTTCCTTCTGTTTTAAAGTAAGGGCTACAAAGCGGTTTAGGGGGGTTCAGGGTTTATGGTCTGGGGTTCCTCGCCACTAAGGATCACGGTTGAGGGTTTAGGGTTTAGGGTTAGGGAAACTTCGGAAACATTTCCATCCCGAGGTCCGCACAGATTAGTTATGGAACATGTTAAAAAGCTCCTGGTTACACTGCACCAGTACTGATGGAAACAAATCAAACGCAGCATCAAACGGAAAATGAAATGAACACTGGGGTTGTACAGGGGTTTATGTGCATTCTTATTACTTATTGTCGATATTTCGTTCCTAGATTCCTTATATGCATATGGTATAGTCGAAGCATGTTACTTTGTAGAAACACTAGCAAACGTGCTGCTAGTGCTAGTATTGGAACTGGAGCTAGGACAGTGCTGACAATCATTACTTGACTAATGTGTTGAAAAGGGAGGAAAGTACTCGCCAGAATGAACAAAACTTCACGACTTGAAACCCTGGACCCTAAACGGACAGCCGGCCGGGGAGAAAAGGCGTGATCAAAAAAAACTAAACTCCAAAACCCAACCCGAACACCACACTCTGAACCCTAAAGGCGAGATCCTTGCTCCTGCGTCGTGACGCCTTCAGTTGCAAGACGGAAAAATCTGTGGTAAGGAATAACTAATCCTGACCTCTAAGCCCTACACACTAAATCCTAAACTCTACACGCTAAACTCCTAAACCCCTAAACCCCAAACCCTGAACCCTACACCCGAATCCCCCTAAACTCTGAAATCCCTAAACCCTTATGACGACTCCTGAGCTCAGGAGCCTCGGGAAGGCATATTCGCAGCCTTCAGCACGGAGGAGGATGGCACCGTCTGCATGTCTGAGATTGTGCCTGGGCTAGGGTTAAACCCAAACCCCTAAACCCTAAACCCTAAACTCCTAAACCCTAGAGGTTTAGGACTTAAGGTTTGGACTTGGGGTTGGTAGGGAATAAGGGAATATGATAATCCCCAGAACTCTGCCTTCTAAGCCGTATGCCCTGAACCATACCCGAGCCTTTAAGAGCTTCGGGCTCCAAACCCTACTCCCCCAAAGCCTTAGCTTTTAACCCTACACCCAACACCCTAAACCCTAAAACTCTAAAACCCTAAAGCCCTAAACCCTAAAACCCCTAAAAACCCTAAAGCCCTAAAACCCCTAAACCCTAAACCCTAAAACCCTAAGGTCTCTGGCCTGATGAGACTACGAGGAGCCTTCGCCGGAATGGAGGGCGACCGTTTCAGGGGTTTTGTTTCTATATATAGAGGACTATTGTAGACGCCATAGAAAAACGCCCTTAAAGAGGGTTACATAAAGGATCATATAGCGGACTACACTAGGGTTTTAATGCTGTTTAGGAGGACTTCTGAGCCTTTTTCTTCTACCCTAAACCCTAAACCTTAAACCCTAAACCCTATAACCCTGCGAACCCTAAACCCTAAACCCTTAACCCTAAACCCTAAAGCATAAACCCCAACCCAAGCAGAAGTCTCAACCATACCGTCGCTCCAAAAGTCCCAAGCCCAGAATTTTAAGCCCTGAACCTGAAATAGTACACCCCGCAAACCCTAAACCCAACCCCAACCCCTAAACCCTACACCCCACAAACCCTCCCCAAATTCTCAACCTTACACCACAAGCCCTAAAGCCCTAAATCCAAAACCGTAAACCTCACACCCCTAAACCATGGCTTCCTCAAGCATGAGGCCTAAAAACACAACAGGGTTTAGGGTTTAGGGTTTAGGGTTCAGGGTTTAGGGTTCAGGGTTTAGGGTTTAGGGTTTAGGGTTTAGGGTAAATCCTGTAACCCCAAATCCGTACCCCCAAAGCTCCCCAGCCAAGGCTTCAAGCCCTCAATCCATAAGGTTTAGGGCTTAGGGCTTAGGGCTTGGGGGTTGAGGTTGAGGGTCTAGGCGTTTAGGGTTTAGGGTTTAGAGGGTTTAGGGTTTAGAGGGTTCCCCAAACCCTAAGCCCTAAACCTTAAGCCCTAAATGGGGTTTAGGGTCAGCTGCAAGGTGATCTCAGCAAAATTGACATGGCCATCACCCAGTCTGAGCTGGAAAGCTTGCAGCGGCAGGTCACGAAGTTGACACAGTACGTTGAAAAGACAGGCTACTGAGGTGGGGCCATTCTACCTAAGAATGTTAGGCTTGGGGGATTTTTAGGGTTCATCTACACCCTAAACCCCTAAACCCTAAAACCTTTGTGGAG